ATCCAATGGTAACGTCCGTCATAAGGGGGTCTTCAGGCTGCGCTTTGTCTGGTTCCTCACCTAGGACCTGTCTGCCATGGGTGACCCTACCAGGGGCATAAAGCCCCAGACAGCATAGCHCCTAGGATCATTGGGACACTCAAACCCCTCCACCACGATAAGGTAGCAGCCCAAGGCTGTGTTAAATCATTTTCATTTATTCAGAAGACACAGAGCTGAGCACCACCGTGACTGGTTCTGTCGTACACAATAACTGCCGGACGATAAAAGACCAACAGTTTTTTTATAACAATGGCTGAATCTGAAGCTCCGCCCACAGGTGAGGGGCACACACACACACACACACCTGAGCAGCAGGTGACAGGGGGAGGGGCTGTTAGTGGTTACCTGCCAGCAGGCTCTGGATGGACAACAGGATGCAGCGAACGTCCAGCAGAGCGGACCACTTGTCCTTCAGGATGTCCAGGCAGATGAAGCCCTGATCGTCCACGTTAGGATGGAAACACGGAGTCACAAACCTGACTGCAGGAGCCTGGTACGGATACCCTGCTGGGAAGTCCAGAGACAGCCGGTACCTGAGCCCCTCGTACACCTGAGACAGACAGGTGGGGGGGTGGGGGTGGGGGGCAGACAGGTGGGAGGACAGACAGACAGAATGTCTCTTTAATGACGTTTTTTTTTATTTCATTGTGAATTTGTAAATCAAAGGGGTGGGGTCAGAGGTTCCATAGAGGTCTCCACAAGCCCACCCCCCTGTGTGTCTGTGTGTGTCTGTGTGTGTCTGTGTGTGTGTGTCTGTGTGTGTGTGTACGTACCGTTCCCTGGGCTCCATCGATGGTTCCGACCCACTTAAAAAGGTTATCTGATTCTGGGAACGCTGAGATCCCTTTATCACTGGACATCTGCAGCAGGACAGAGACAGGTCACATGACCAGGTCACAGGTCACAGGACCAGGTCACAGGTCACAGGACCAGGTCACAGGTCACAGGTCACAGGACCAGGTCACAGGACCAGGTCACAGGTCACAGGACCAGGTCACAGGTCACAGGACCAGGTCACAGGACCAGGTCACAGGACCAGGTCACAGGACCAGGTCACAGGTCACAGTACTGTGAGACGTGTCACATTAGAGGCATGTCATACGGTCCTTTAAATATAATCCAATTTAAACCCGTAGGGGGCAGCACCAAGATGTTTTTAGACAAAATACTGAAGATTTAAAGTATTTTAGACCAAAATGTAGAGATGTTGACATTTTGTCAGCAGCTGCTGTGACCAGACTGCACCAGGCTGTTGTTTTGTGTGTTTGTTGTTTCCTCCTGCTTCATTATTTCTACGAGTTTCAACAAAGTGCACTGACGTCAGGTGGTCAGCTACAGCCTCGTCTTCCAGACTTTTATTTTTGTTGATGTTTTCAAGAGATAATTATTAGAAAATAGGATCAAAGTAAATAACCTGAGGTTTTCTAGTGACCCTTAAACAGATAATCTGACATGAAAAACAGTATTTTATCTGCTCTTGTTCCACATTTGATGATTTGAAACGTTGAATTATGTTGTTTTATCCAGAACAGTGCTTGTTGTGTTGATGCTGGTCTTCATCACCTGACACATGTTGAGGAGCTGTGTTTACAACATGTCCACAAGGTTTTAAATTGTTTAATTTCCTTACTTTCTAAGACACATTAAGTTGATTTCATATATTATTTTATACCTTTTCTGCTACTTTTAAATAGGCTATTATTAACTTTTATTAGTTTTTAAAGATATAAGATGCTTCCTACAAAAACCACAATGTGAATCTTTGCCTAAAATTTCATGGAGATACCTTGAACACTGAGCAGGGTTCCCACACCTTGGTCAACATCTAATTCAAGGACCTTTCAAGGACTTTCCAGTACCAATTTCCTCAAATTAAAGAACCACGTGTAACGTAATTACCTGCTGCTACTGCAGAGTGTGACCAATGAACAGGTTTAATATCATGTAAGGTCAAAGAAAACCTGAACAGACAAGTTGAGTCAGAAACAATGTCAGAGCTGCAACTAACCAAGATTTTAATAATCCATTAATCAATTAATCAATTATTAAATTAGTCAATTATTTTAATAATGGACTAGTCGTTGATTAATGGTTGCAGCCCTGATGTCAGGTTACTGTACTCCTCAGTTATCTGCTGCAACAAATGTAAGGGTTTTTAAATTTAATTTAATTTTATTTTCTTTAAATGATGAAAATCAGTCGTATGAAGAGAAAATTTCAATCCCAAAAACATTCAAGTACTTTCAAGGACAAGTAGAACTTTTGGATGTTTTCATGAACTTTCCAGGGCCTTGAAATATTTTTCAAATTCACAAACTTTCAAGGATTTCAAGGACCCGTGTGAACCCTGACTGAGGAAGTTGTGAGTAAAAAAAGAAAACAGCAGGTTGAGATGATCCCATTGGTTCTGCTGTGAACTGCCTGATGTCACCTGAACAAACAGGTGAAGTTCTGTAACAAATCATTATTTATAATCGATTCATCACTGCAGCTCTGCTCACATCTTCACAGGACTCTGATCATCTGTTTGAAATGTTTTATGAATCTGCTGTCAGATTAAACATTTATCCACATCCCTACAAAATGTTGGATTTTACTCTTATAAATACAAAGTATTAATTTCCCTTGGAGCACAGTTTAGACAGTTTATCTGCAATAAAAGGTGATTCTGGGAGAAGTTCCTCTTTAATCTCTTATCTTAGATTCTGCAAAAGACCTGAGGTTTTACTAAATAAATCAACTCACCATGAGAGTCATCAGCTCCTGCTGTAACCTGTACACACAGACACACACAGACACACACATCAGTTCATATTAATAAACCTGCTGAACAGTTAAACACAGGACCCATGGTCAGTGACACAGATAAAATATTATAATCAGGTACTTTAGATTTGGGATTCAGTGACCATCTTATATATTGTAAATGTAAACTTCAGAATGAAGTTCAATGAACACAATCAAGTTAAGATCACATCACTGAAGTGTACAAAACAGGCTTTGAGAATTAATTTTGATTTATTGGTTTAACAGGAAAAGATGACTAAAAATCAAGCCTGACTCAGCATAATTGCTGTTTTACAGCAGGTTCCTGTTCTGCAGCACATAAAACACTCAGAATTACAGCATCACAATCACATCATTATACACTATAGACACAAAGACAAACAAGCAGACCAAATTTCAGGAAGGCAGCATTTGCAAAATAGGACGTCTAAATATGAGCATAACAAAAAGTGTCCAGCAGATGGCAGACAAGATTCTT